CTCCGGAAACATGCGAATTATAGATTATAAGTTCTAATTGTTGGAGCGAATGTGTTGCCAACTTCATAATCAATAACGTCAGGATTGCCCACCTCATAATTTCATCTCCAGATCGCATATGGTGATAATATTACTCATGTCATACCACTTATATGCCCATTCTCGTCATTATGTTTTGAAAGATTCAGTTGGATCCGAAATGTTATCGTTGATACTGTGTACTTTTCGTCGCACACTTTTTGCGTTTGTTGCGCTTTTTTAACTAATATGGTACAATTAACTCTATCAGTGTAATTATTATACTATGAATAACTTGATGTCGATGTCGTTCTCATGAATATAGTTCGAATTATCCCCATTATTGCTTGGATTGTTAACACTGACTTGAAAATCAGTTGTGACAACCTCAAGTAACCATTATTTAAATGGTTTGCTTCGTTGTAACGGTTGTCTATGATGAGGGGATTTCTTTGTATCAGCGAATGTGGCAATATGTTCCATTGTGTGTTTCTCCACTGCACATTCCCGGGATCACATAAATGATATTTGGTTGGAGANAATCGTTAAAGTGTGCTCCGTGGTGATTTGTTGATTAAAATAGTTGGTGGTGAAGTTAATATGGCAATGTTTTGCAGGTTTTGTATTGTGGCTTCGATGTAAGCTGCTTCGATGATTGTCAATGAGATATTATTGATAAAAAGGATTTGTTTTAAATGTTCTGCGACTTGTATTCCATTGATTCCTCATCGATTATCGCTGCCATGCATATCCTCCTTCAAATCGCTATCAATAACAAGCCAAAAGCAATGTCTTGAAAATGCAGCCAACACGAGGAACGAACACCATCAAACTGGTGATCAGAAGAATGAAGAGCGTTAGTTATCAGTTGTTTAGTTCAGTCATACATGTTTTCCATGTTGACTTTTTTACGTCGTGACTATAGTCAAACGTTTGCTGCGAGGGCAGTTATTCAGTTTAGCCGAATTAAGTCTTCGAAAAATCCAAGAGGTGGTCATCAGATATCGTCTGTCGTTTATGGATGGAACTAACCCATATTCCAATTTATTTATTTTTATTTACATATTTGTTTTTAAGCATAAAGATTGAAAAAAGTGCTGAATGTACGAGATAACAATTAGTATTATCTTTGCTAAAGTCTGAATTACTCTATCACGTTTTTTCACTGCATTTATTGAAATGCTTATGATAAATTAAGCTTCTAATGACTTGCACTAATGCAATGATAACTTCAGGTAAGAAGCGAAAAAGATATGCGCTTGGTGGATGTCTTGTGACGATGTTTTTGTCGACTCATGCAGTTCTTTTATGGCGTCGAAGAAGTGAATTTCGAACATTGAATGTAACTTTGCCACCAATCAAATGGGAAACATTCCGTAAAGACTATTTAATTGCAGGAAAAGTAGGTTANGTTTCAGGTGAAATCAATCGTATATCAACCACATTTTCATGTTGGCGATGTCTATCTGCAGTTGAGTGATGACGATGAACGCGAAAAGTTGAAGCGACATTTCTTGTCAACGGTATAATTCGTTTTGTTTTACTAATTGAATTCTGATAATAATAACTGCATTCATTGATGATGGAGCTACATCTGACTAAAGCTACTGAGATTCGTTTTTAATGGAGTTTTATTCGTAAACTTCGATTTTTGTTTGACATCAATCACATGATTTGCTTCCGAGTGAATGATTTGTCGTTTGCAGTTCAGAGCTGGGCCTGAAAAATTCGCTAGAACACCCGACGTACGTTTCGGCTTTGACGATGACTGCGATGCATTCGAGAAAGCTCTCGAAAATGCTCTCAGTGGTGCCGAAAAGTCATGTGATGTGCATTTGGAAATTAATCGCTTCCCGTCTTATAGGTATGACTTGATGCTTGTTGTAATTTGTGTTGTGAGTGTTTTGATGTGTTACTTCATCCGGTATGACTCCGGCTATAAACTGAAAAACTTCTCCGGCAGGCGTTTCTCAAATTGCTCCACTTCACTTTACTCGTTTCGCGAAGTCCAACTGATAGCGAGTTAACGTGAAAATATTCAACTTCTACAAAATTTTTTGTTGAATCTCTATAATTTCATAATATCAGAAACGTTCACGATGTTGTCAGGACACCTGTTGTAAATCCTGGAATTTTCTTCATCTTATCGACTAACTCCCGAGTGAAATACTTGTATTTAAGGGAGTTGGCGTTCATTTGCATCAGCACTCTGTTCACGTTGGCTGCTGTTGGTCTGATGAAGATCTGAATA